GTAATGAGGGAAGAAGATCCTTTACCAAGCACCTGGATCCGTATCTGATCATATTCAGTATTCAGACTATCTAAGACATTATAAATCTGCTTATTTTCTATCAATTTCTAAGATTTGATTACATCTTCAGAACAATATGCTTGGAAGTCTTGATAGTAATTTAGATTCTGTCATAATCTACTCAGTTTTAAAAAATATTGAGAAGTAGTCATCTCTCCTTCCTTTGTGCCATGAATCTTATTCTGGAATTTATAAATTTAGGTATCATTACCCACTTGTGAGTATGTGAGAGATGTTGCATTTCATATTTTTGCTGCAGTATCGAACGATAGATATGTTCGGGTAATGTCGGGTTGCATGGAATTAATGAGTTAAGATATTAGAAAAGAGGTTTGAGAATCTCATCTATGATATTCCAAACTAACATTTGGTTTCTTCATATCACATGTAATATATTCTTGCAATCTTTTAAATTTGATGGACAATAAATAAGATATTGACTAAGTAAATTAATTAGTTTTATCAAGTTTCATGAGAGTAATTTGTAATGAGAGGTTTATCTGAATTATAAACCATCAACTTTTTTGCTTATGTTATTTTAGAGTACTAGAAACAGGAAAAAACAATACCCATAATGAAAAACAGACCTTTTAATCAGTACCAAAGGATCTCCAAAAAAGAGCTGCAAACTAGAACCAGATTTAGTAAACAGTAGCTCGAATTCGGCTCAAAAAGGGCTTGAGTTTAACTCAGAAACGGCTAGAGCTTGACTCAAAAACGGCTCAACTTAGGCTAAAAAAGGCTCGAACTTGGACAGATCTTCTTTCACCACCCACAGAGCCGGTCGCAGAGTCTCTGGCTGCGGTGCGCACCAGCAGCTGTGCAGATATGGATCCAGCCTCCTGTTCTTTCCGACCCTGGGCACAAACAGCTATGCAGATCTGGATCCGGCCGTCTTTTCTGCCTGCATCACGCACCTGCACCTGTGCTGATATGGATCTGGCCTTCTGTTCTTCCCGTGTCGCACACCATTACATGATATTATTATGTATTATAATTCTGAATACTTCAAATAATTAATTAAATAATAAAATATCGTTGTCGAAACTTATACATAGAGACTTTAACTTGGGTTCAAGCTATGTCCGAGCCCGAGGTCTATTAAGAAAGTATTGGTTTATGCTTAAAAGTTATATTCAATTACCATAACTGTCTGATGTCAGGGCCAACTGGGGAATTAGTTGCAAGTGCAGATGATAAAGAGGAAGCTGTTCTCATTGCAAAATTTGATCTTGACAAAATCAAACTGAAGAGAAACAGCTGGGGTGTATTTCGTGATCGGCGTCCAGATTTATACAAGGTACTTCTGACCTCAGATGGCAGCAAAATCTCCTTTTGACCCTGTATGGATTCTCCTGTGAAGTCTTAACCACAGCATGAAACTTCTGAAGAATGGAGAAAAACATGACGAACAACACAGATGATATTCTGAAATCTTCAAATGTGTTATTTAAAATACTTGGATATTTTTGTTTTTTATTTGAATGATCGTTCATAAAGCACCATTTTGAAGGTTGCTTTTTATTTATATTGTCTTTTCTTTGGAATAAGCGGAATGATGGCTTTTATCAAGAGCCTTGGCCTCGTGCGCTAATTCTCCCCGTGGAAACAAATTCCTCTGTTTGTTCTGGCTTGGTGTGGCTTCTTTGCTTTGCTTTTATTAAATTAAGGGAAAAACATTTTCACTCTCAAATTTGGTCTTATTACAATTCATATTTTGTATATAGATTTTTTTTAACAACGGGGAAATAATTACTTTGCTCCTTACATTATTGTTGACAACGCATTTTTAATGAGAATAATAATACAAATTTTTACAATTAATTTCATTCAGTCTTTTGTTTGTAAGATTTTGTAAACTCGAAATGAATTGCGCTCCTCCCATTTATTTTTATTTGAAGATTGTTTTTACTGTATTATAAATTGTGTTTATGTATTGTTGATAAATACGTAAATTTATATGAAAAAAACTAAAGATCAATTTGTTCTTTTCCCTTGTTTTTTTTTCATTTTGTGTTCCTGTGTGTATGCACATGTTATAAAATCTCTATTACTAGTGAGATAAACATTGTACATGAAAATGTCTATTTTCGTTTCTCATTTTCACTGGCAGCCTATACTCAATGCATCGGATTTTGTTTTATTATTATTTTTTATCCGATCTGACTTGACTCTTGATACGCTCTCATGCTAAGCTTTGCTGCTTGTTGTACGTATCACATGTATTTGTAGGTATTGATGGATTCATTCGAGAGAGAGTCTCATTATGTTTTAACAGAGTTATCTCCACAAGTATATTGTGACAGATTTCGTGCCACATGTGCAGAGGATAAATAAAAAAGAGAGATAAGAATATGAATGCCATTTGTATGTGAAGTAAAGCATATATACAAATTCTGTAAATCTAATTCCTCTCCCATTTAATCTACCTTTGCTCTTTGTGGTGACCCAATAACTTGGAATTTATGTGCTTTTTAGTTTCTTTTCCTCCTTTTTACTATTTGGTCAACTACCCACCTTAGCATCCTCTTAACCAAATTAGTTTTTTTTTTTTTTTTTGGCTCTTTTGATTTCTCTAGTTTTTGCTCAAGAAGAAAAGAAGAAAGGAAAGATTGAAGAAGAGGGGTTTTGGTTTTTTTATGAAAGATCTCTGTTTCTCTCTTCCTCCCTCCCTCTCTGTAAGCAATATAGAGAAGTGATTAGATGGATGATTTGATTTGAGAGAAGCATCGGCAGCACCCAAAGCAAATCATTGAAAGTGACTATTGCTGTCCACCAAACCCAATGGAAGGAAAGCCAACAAGAAGAAGAAGAAGAAGAAGAAATAGTTTACATAATTTAACTCCATTTCAATCAACTTTATCATAGTTCATAAAAATCAAAGCGACATGTTAAATCATCGTCAGAATTTTGTTACTATTAGTCTTATGTATATGTAATGTATGAGAAAAAAATATATATTTTTTTTCATAAAGTTGGAGTTGGATAAGTTGTTGATTGTTTTGGTTGTTGAATTGAATGTAAAGCAGTTGAAGTGGTAGGTTTAAGGCCACAGTGTTCATGTGCTTGAGGTTGTCACAAGTGGTAAGCAGAAGTAACAGAAGTGGCAGCGTCTGACTGTCACATGTCAAAAGTCTTATCATAACTTGTCTCGGCACAATTCACATGAACCTAACAAGAGTTTTTGAGTATTTATCCGGTGTGTTTCATCTTAGAGATTAATTATGTTATTTTTTTTCATAAACCCTTAAGAGATGAAGTATCATCGGACTAGTCCATTCTATATGCTTCTTGCTTAAAAGTTGTTTTTCTTATTTCCTTATTAGAAGGTTAGTTTTATTGTTATAAATTTGGTGTAGGTTTTTCTCAAGAAAATTTTCATAAACACGTAAAACTTAAAGATTATTAAATCTAAAAAAGAAATTGTTAGTAGCATATTTTAGTACTTAGACTAATTGTTAAAACGTATTAACTGAGGGAAGATATATAGAATAAAAAAGATTTTGAAAGAAATGGCTAATATAAGGGTGGAAGGTGGAAAATGAATGGCTAAATTAACAATCTTTATAAATTTAAAATTAAATTGTTTTAAACTGGAATATATGAAATGAAATAACAACCACCAAAATTGGAAACTAGGATCTGGCTCTTGCTGTCTACGTAACCATCCATTTCTTGTCTCCTATATTAATAGCCTTCGCTTTCCCCATTGATTTTTTCAACCCATCTCCCCTCTTCTTCTTCTTCCTCCATTTCCATCCACCCATACAGACGCGACCATCCATGGCTGCCTTTGGAAGCCTCCACCCCGTCTTTGAGAACCCATTGCCAGAAACTCCCCCCCTCCTCGAAGCCTTCTCGCCATGGCACCAGATCAAGGCCTTGAAACCTGTAAAACACTCTTCTTTCATTGACATCTTTGGCGAGCTTCATTTCAAACAATCCTCTACCCATCAATCTTCTTCTTCTTCTTCTTCTTCTTCATCCTCTGGTTTCTTCAAACCTTTGATCTCTTCCTTTTCGTCTTCTTCTTCTAATTCGACATCTCAACCGAGAAAGAACGTCGACGATGAAAAAGACAAGATCAGTAATAATCCGCCATATGGATGCCATCATAAGAAGAGCCAGAGCTTGCAACTCTGCACAGAGGGACTGGGCTTTGAAAGCTTTGATGATGTTGAGGGTCTGATCAGGAGTGGGAAAAGTTGGCAAAATAATAACGAGGAGGAGAAAACGACATCGTTCAGTGAAAATAATAACAAGAAGCAATTGATTTTATGTCGTGAAAATTATAGATGTAGAAGGTCAAAATCAACAAGTGGAGGTGAGTTTCCTCCTCCAATTTCTTGTATAGGGAAAAGTGGTAAGCCATGTGTGACTTTTCAGTCTTATCGTCAAGATGGCAGGTTTATTCTCAAGGAAATTAAGATTCCCACCCACGAGTTCTTGCATGCATGCAGAGAAAATGGACGTTTAAAGCTGCAGTTTGTTCAACCTAACGAAGATATTCTTGAAGAAGAAGATGATAATGAAGAGGAAGGAGAAGAAGAAGAATGAAAGGTTTGATGGAGAAGGTGGTAATGAAGAAGAAATGGAAAGGGAGGGCTCAGTACAAAGGAAGAAACGTTGTAGATGGTTATCTGCTACAGAATTAGGGTAGGGAGTTTAAAGTAATTTAATGAAAAATTTATAAGCAAATTAATTTTCTTTGTAAGTTCTCTTTGTTTTAATTTTCTTGCCCAAAAGGGTGTTTTGGAATAAACAGAGAACAGGAAACAAAGAAACCATATTTTCTTCTTTTCATTTCCTTATAACCACACCTTTTTTTAAAGGATTAGTTCCTAATTAAAATAATTAACTTGCAAATAAAATCAGTTTCAAGATTAGGCGATGCACACAGTGAGCAAAGCAGATGTCAAAAGTTGGAAGAAGCAAAATAAGCAAAGTAGAAGCATTGACTGCCGCAGCTAAGATGGAAATTAGGGTTACCATCCATTATCTAGTCTCATTAAGTCCTCATCGAACAAGTTAGTCTTAACCATATGGAATTATGAACATCCCAAAACAAACATTGAAAGCAGCTTTAATTTTTATTTGTTTTCAAATCAGAAGAAATAATTTACATAATTTAACTCCATTTCAATCAACTTTGTCATAGTTCATTTTCAACTTAATCCGAACCGATTTTATTTATTGATTTTTTATATTTTGTTAGTAAAAAAATATTTCTTTATTATTATATTATATTAAAATTAATGTTACTTATCACTTTTCTAATTAATATGCAAAGTTGGCATATCATTGTATTATATTTTTAAGGTGTGTGATATTGATGTTAGTAGTATAATTTGACAGAAGAATGTTGCATTATGAACTTATTTATATCAAAATATTTGACATTAATATTGAAAAGAATATGTTAAAAATAAAAAATAAATTTAACTACATATATATATATATTTATTTTAAATTTCAGCTTTTATAATAAATAAATTAAACTAACTACCGTAGAATAGCCAAGGCATGCCTTCCACTCATACCTTTTTAACTTATTTATTTATATAATTTCTGTGGAAAACTCCTCAATCCATGATCAATTGAACTTTTTTTTTTTTTTTTTTTTTTTCTGAACTGGGAAGATGAGATAAGAAGAGAAGTCGAACCACAGGTAATAGTGTACGTATGTTTTTATTTGTGTGCCTGTTTAAACATATACACGTATATATATATGTATATACTAAAAATATTGTTCTTTTTAATTTGAATTTTTAATTCTTTGTCTCTATGTCAACTAAAATATTTTAACCACTAAAGAATATAATATACTGTTCACTTAAAAAGTAGTAAATTCGTTGAAATTTATTTTAATTTAATTATTACAATAATACCAACACAATTAGTGAAATAAATTTTTTATTTTATTAAATTAAATATTATAAATTAATATAATGTATTTATAAAATAAAAAATATTATATTTTTAAAATTTTAAATTTATGATTTTTAAATAAAAATAATATATATTAGGATATGGATTATCTGAATATTTCGCCTTTTTTTTTTCATTTTTTCCCTTGTCTATTTTTTTTTTTATTTGAAGGGGGGATATATATTGATGCA